ATAGTACTGAGAAAGGTATATTGACTTACCCTTTTTATCCAACTTGCATATGTAATCCAGCGCTAGATATAATATGACATGTAAACATGGTAAATGGCCAAAAGCGGGTAAAAGAAATTCCTATAATTAAATTCACACTTCGTTTCAATTAAAGCTGCACATTTTCCATTCATACAAACAGCTGATAATCAATGTTGATGAAACGTTTGAGTCATACAAAATTCCACTTCCTGTCGAAACGTTTTGATGATTTCTTGAAGAGTTAAAATTTCACTGAGTATATCCACATATTCGGATGTATACAAATCGTGAACAGAGTATCCTCTAGTTGATGGAAAGATAATACATATGCCTTATCTTATAAAATTTGCATTTTTGGGGGATATATTTTGCTGGAAAGCATTTAATTATGTTTTGTTTTGAAGAAAAAAGAAATTTAAATTCGGAGTTTATGGCGATTTTACACATAAGGATGAATTAGCATATGGACAAGCCATGTTTTTATATCATTTTTTTCTTTACCAAAATTCAAATTTATTCTCATAAGGTTGTTTATATTTTTTTAATAATTAAATGAAATTTAATGTAATTTAATTAAATGAGTAGAAATTGAATAAACTGCCAAACAATTCATGTTTAAAGAAAGGATACATATATGGTACTCTCATTGCATCGAGAAGATACAATGTACATTCCATCCACAAAATTGAATGATGTGTTATGCTCGGTGATTTATTGGTGTTTAGTGAATCAGATCATTTGGGACCAAAATGGCCTTTCAACGGAAGTATGTCATGTTGTGACGTTGTAGAGAGCCCCCTTAATTTTGTATTTTGACCAGCATCAGAAAATTTATATCACTGCATGGCTCCAACTGGCAGATGATGAAATAAACAATTAAAAAGGTTCTACATTCCTCATTGTAACCATTATGTGTCCAGTGGCAAGGAACCTGTTATGAGAGCAACAAAAAAGAAGCAAAAATGAATGTACAAAAGTCAATAGTTTATCCCGAAAAATTATTTTATTTTATTTTTTTTATTTCCTCCTCCTACGGGACTTTTTTTATTTCGATAATTTAAAAATTAAAAAAAATGCTGGCCTTGTTGACAAAATCCTTTGAAATTTTGAATGTTTTCATATATTATGAATGGCTACCACATGAATTGAATAAAAGAATTATTATAAAAGCATATGCATGCACCTGTGCTGCAATCTGATTGGCTGAAACTTAAAATGCCTATAATTTTCTTGGCTCTCAAGAAAACAGGATGACATTTAGAATACGAATAGGTACAGTACAGGCAACGCGGATCCCGTATTAGACCGCGTCCCCTCCGCGGTGTATTAATCCTTTCCGCGTTACACCGTCGCGGGTTTTGATCGCGGTGCTACCTGAGACCGTGTTTACACCGCGGCGGGGCCAGCTACCGTTATTCTTCAGCTTAGATGTTCTTACCTGTAATCTGGTGTTCACAATTAGCCCGTGCAGTTGCAGTTACATAAAGCTATATGTGTTTATTTATCTGCGAGATTATATCAGTCATTTGGTTTCATTTAGAAAAGTACCGTTACTTGTGTATACATGTCTGTTATAAATAATAGCATGGAAAACGATGATAGATAGTGATACATAATTACAATTAAATTTTAACAAAAGACGCCTAAGTTTGGGAATACCATTGCTCCATTATTATGCGCTACACTATAAGACTATGAACTAAATATCGACGATTTTTTTTGGGGGGGGGTTATTGTAAATAAAATAATCACAGGTCATTCTATTCAGAATATCAATAATATCATAGCTAGTGTTTGAATGTATTTCTATTTTCTGCTCTCTTCGAAAATTACTAAAATCATGTCTATGAACATAAACAAATTTCAGATTTCTCCGGTTCAGATAAAACACGAACACCAATATGGGCCCTTAAAATATTTGAACACACAACACAGAAATTAAATTATTTTAATCAGCAAGTTGCCATGCTTCAAGTTTTCAGAAGTCTGTGTAACCGTTCGGTTTTCCTCAGGTAAGTTTGGTGTGGAGTGGAGCTTACTCGAAGCGGATGAGAAGCCCCGAGGGAACGACGCTGTCTAGTGTACATACTACCTATATACACAGGATGTTGTAACCTGAGAGTATTACCTGTATGCGTTTTCCTACGACATTGTAAAACGAAGCCGTTTTTTTTTTTCATGTGTAGCTCATGAATTGAAATGCATGAAATAAAGAATGTTTTTGTTGCAGACAGAATCCTTTTTAACTTTTTTGTTTCAAATAAATATTTACAATAATTTGACAATTTTAATATACTGTGTTTTTCTTAATCAAATTTTATAACAAAAATACATTTTATTTTACCACCAAAATCTGTCGTTGTAATCTGGCGACAAAAAGGAAAGTGATTCAAATTACATGTCTTGTCCATATGCTAAACGAAAGAAGAAAGTGGATCATAAACAAGTCTCTCGATAAATAACAATAAAACTTAGACAAAATCCACAAATGGTCAATAAACTGATAAATCAGCAGTAGTTTTATTCGCTAGACTTAATAAATTGATATACAGATCAAAAAGGAGGAAAAACGATCATGCACGTGCCTTAATATTGTGACATTTTTCTTCTCTCTATCTCCTCTCTCTCTCTCTCTTTCAATCTTCTAACTGGTACAGATATAAACAGACACGAAATAACATAGTAATGGATCATTATTTGATTTAATTAATATCAAATACTTCATTAATTTGTTTTAAAAGTTTTTTTTTAACTTTTATTCTTTTTATACAATCCGTGTAAAAAAAGCAACAATAATTTGACACAAATTCCAAGGCTAATATCGCATCTGAAAATGATATCGATGAAATAATAATGAAATAATGAATCAAATCTGTTGTTGAATGGCTAGACAACAATGTGCACATCCAGCGAGCGTTACCCAAGGTATACTAATAGACAGGTGTGAAACCCCAAGGGCATGTCGTTTCCTGCTCAGGCACTGCTAATCCCTATACACAGGAAATGATCGCTGCTAATACTTAATACACAAAGAAACAGAATTTGTCAAAGAAAACAAAAATATATGAATTTTTGCACTGAATATTTATTAATATAAGCTATAATTTCGTCTGTGAAGTTTATCATTACACCTGCACATCCTATCTTATCTATTGAAAACGAAAATCGAGAAATATTAAAATTAAAAAGAAAGACATTGTTTTAAAAAGTAAAACATGTTAATATGAAGGTGAAAAACGGTATTTTTTCTTGATCTCTTGTATAAAGTTCACGTGCTCCAAGTTAACTCTCGTCATCGAATGCTTTCCGGTCATTTGGCAATTTGAGAAAAATGCCTGCACATTTATATAAAAGAGGTAAATAAAATAAAGTAAAGTTTTCTTAATTTGGGAACAGAACATAAACGATGAGAAATAAAGAAAAATAAAACTTTTTCTTGATATCTTGGATAAAGAAAATTTAAGTTCACGTGCCCACTACATGAAATTGCAAACGCTCGTCATCGAATGTTTTCCGGTAATTTGACACTTTAAGAAAAAGCCTGTACATTTTATATACAATAAATCGAAATTAATTAATAAACAATATGAAGATGTACATTTTTAAAAAGATGTACATCTTTTTTTTCAAATGAATGCTGAAAATCGTTTATCGAAACTTAAAGACAGTCTGAGTTCAACATTTATTACAGTTTGCATATCATATGAAGATTTAAAAAAAACAACTAAATTTCTAGTATTTAATTTTGTTTCTTGATAGATTCTTAATAACACAAAACAATTAACCAATTGCAAAGACGAAACAATTTAATATAATTTTCTGTTCAATTTCAAGGATTGTTATGTAATTTTAGAAACAAAAATAAACTTATTTTTTCTTAGTTTAAGTTCTATTCAAAATTTTATTAATAAACACAAGTTTTTTATGTTTGTTTGTTTGTTGTTTTTCTTTTTTTTTTTTTTTTTTTTTTTTGTTACAGGGAAAATTCGCAAATTACAATTCGGGGAGATAACTCCCGTTTGTTTACGATACTAATTGTCAGTAATTGATCGATGATTTAACCGCGGCGGGGACAGGTAAGTGATGAATTTCCCGCGGAGGGAACGCGGTTTACCTGTCTACCTGGCCAAATACCGCGTTGTGATTATACCGCGGCGGGGACGCGGGAAATACGGGATCCGCGTTGCCTGTACTGTATAATGGATTCCTACATTATGTTACTATCAAAATTGAATGTAAGGACATGCATGCATGCACGTGCGGGAAAGCGCATTGCGTAAATTGATCAATCTATTTGAAAAATGGTAGCATTATATTTTTATGATTTTTCATTGATTCTCAGAATTTAAAGATATGTTAATGGTTTAGACAACATGTCATGATCACCTTGCATGTGCATGCACGTGCGTGTGTATGCAATACGTTAAATGACATATAGTTGATATCAACTTACAGGAATATTGGTCAAAAAGGGGAGTCGGGGAGCATTTTGGGAACATCTGTAACAGTCCCCGTTACAATTATTACTACAGCTTACTCCATATTGAACTTGCTTATTTTGAAATTCATCTTATTTTGAAATAAAAATAAATCCCCAGTTGTGACTGTCATATTCTTTGCATTAAAATAATGGTTATATTGAAATCGTCTATATTGAAATATTGTACTTATATTGAAGCCACTGATCGGTCCCCACAGGTGATAATGAGTTGTTTTCATAACGGTTATATTGAAGTACTCCCTGGCGGCTGTCGTTACAGTTGGCGACAGAAATTATGCCTGACTGACCAGTTGATATACAAAGGTGTGAATAATTAAGTTTTCATCTGATGTGTTTTTATACTGCATGCTTTTACGAAATAAAATTATGCACTGCTAAATTCTTTGTTTCCATGTATATAATACGGAAGTATTTAGGCTAAAGGCAATATAGTAACCCCCACAGATCTAGAAAAAATTTAACTTTCAAATTAAATAACATGCAGCGTCCAGCAGTACTCAACAGTTTGAGATGGTGATTTTTCTCCAAAACGTAAATGCTTTCGGGGAATAAAAATGAGGCTGAAGATTGTCTTATCGATACAACAGAAAGAGACAATTTTATTTAAACTTTCAAAGACTAATATTACATGTAATCTGTACATTGTTATAGGTAAACGATGACAAAATTAATTTTTATGCCCCCCTTCGAAGAAGGGAGGGCATATTGCTTTGCTGCTGTCTGTCGGTCGGTCTGTCGGTCCATTTAGTTTCCGCTCATTTTCTTCACAACCGTTGCACATACTGAAATGAAATTTGGTATACAGATATATCTCATGAATATCTAGGTCAAGTTCTGTTTTGGGTACGGTTGCTCCATTTTTGACAGAGTTATGCCCCTTGGACTTAAAAAAAATCCATTATTTGCAGTTTCCGCTCATTTTCTTTGCAACCGTTTGGCATACTGAAATGAAATTTGGTATACAGATATATCAAATTATTATCTAGGTCAAGTTTTGTTTTGGGTACGGTTGCACCATTTTTGACAGAGTTATGCCCCTTGGACTTAAAAAAATTCCATTATTTGCAGTTCCTGCTCATTTTCTTTGCAACCGTTTCGCATACTGAAATGAAATTTGGTATACAGATGTATCACATTAATATCTTGGCCAAGTTCTGTTTTGGGTATGATTGCACCATTTTTGACAGAGTTATGCCCCTTGGACTTGGAAAAATTCCAATTAGGGGGGAGGGGGGCATAAGTGTTTTACAAACATCTCTTGTTTCAGGTTTGTTCTTTATCTTAAGATGGGGATTGCACTTTTAATTAAAAGAAGAAATGGCGGCTTCACGATTTTGCTGATAATGAATTATGGATATGTTGTATTAATTTGTATGGTCCCCTGAATTTCAATATATCCGGAGTAGGCTGTAGTTACATATGCGTTTTATAGAACATTTATATGATTGTATGTGTGCCAAATTTAATTCTTATCTGAAATATGGTTTCATATATATTTGTGAACTTTTTGATCACCCCTTTTATGTATCTGTATCCTGAAGCTCCAGTGCAAACCAAGTTCCTGATTATGAGGAGGAAACAAAGCCTTTGAAACCGCCACCTTTACCACCATTTTATCGGGATTCTATACCTGGTGGGAGCCAACATGCTCATCCACCACCCCCGGGAATTGAGCCTGTGACCCTGCCTACACAGACACAGCCTGAGCTCTTACCTCCTAAAACTGATATAGAGAGACCCATTCTGCCTCTTAGATGTACACAGGGTGTCATGGAGGAGTACCAGTCTGACTCTCCCTCAAGGTACAGCATAACTGCACACACTTTCTAATGAAAGTTTGGATATATATATATATATATATAAATGATAAGGCAACAATGTTAGTAAAACGTAAGCGCTTTCTTCATTATTTCTTCAGATGTTTTACAATTGTTTTACTAACATTGTTGCCTTATCATTTTTTTTATCATTTATATATATATATATATATATATCCAAAATTTAAATAATGTCTCAGTAATCGGATAACAATATTTAAAAAAAGGTAAAAAAGAAAACACAAAAATCCTCAGTTAAGCTTTAGCGCTTTCATTTTTCAATCTTCAGAAGCTTACAATAGTATCATAGTAACCTATACTATTGTAAGCTTCTGAAGATTGAAAAATGAAAGCGCTAAAGCTTAACTGAGGATTTTTGTGTTTTCTTTTTTACCTTTTTTAAAATATATATATATATATATATTAGGGATGTCAACGAGTACCCGGTTAACCGGGTATCGATCGTAACGTCCGAGTACCGAATACTAAAATCGGTACTCGGTTACTCGGATGTATATTTTTAAATTTATTTCTAAGCTTATTTATTAATGCATTAAAACATCGGTTTTAAAACGTAAAATGTTCATTGCACTTGTACATACAGTAATTAGGGTTTCCTATGCCTCTAAATGACCGTTATCGCCTGTGGCAGTGTTTATACAGTAATTATCGTGACCAAACACCTGATGTACCTACCCGGGCTTTTCTCACCTTCGACTGTCGTCTTCCCTTATATTTAGTTTGCTTTAATTATTTGTTTTTATTGAACATCGTTTAAGGTCCATTATATTTAAACAAATTGCATGATTTTGTCAATTCTCCAAGAAGCCGTAAATTCTCGGGAAAGACGTTATTGCACGTGCGATTGTTGATTTGGATGCATTTGATTACATGCCAAATAATGCAAATGGTTGAAGGCAAATGCTTTAAAAATCTTATGTCCATCGTTGCTCCAAACTACAACATACCGTATTGTAATTCTATGAAATCTAGGATCAAAAAGTGTACGAAGATCGTATAAATCCGCTCTGTTATAGGATAACTTATTAAGTTTATACCGTACATAAAGCTCAGACACTTATCACTTGGACATCAAACGCACCTAAGAGTTACATTACAATTACGGAACAGAATTCATTTTTTAAACAAAAACACTGTGAACCATTTCTGATTTTATTTCTCGTATTTATCTGATAAATAAATTGAACTTAAAAAATGTTCGATTAAATTTCGTCGGTTACAAAATGGTCATAATTGTTACAACGCATTTGCAGGTAACCTCCCATCGGTTTTATTTCTACAAGAGTTTACAATGTTTTACAGTTATCAATTAACTTGTTCATATTTATTTACACTTTTACCGAGTACCCGGGTACTCGATCGGAAAAACGTCCGAGTAACCGAGTATCAAAAATTGACCGATTTGACATCCCTAATATATATATATATATATATATATATATATATATATATATATATATATATATATATATATATATATATATACCAAAAATCTTACAGTATAAATCCACACACGTATTGTTATAATAAAAAAATCACAACACCGAAATGAAATCAACCGGTTTCAATTCCAATCTTTAGGAGTTTGACAATACAATGCTTAGTTACACAAAATCAACATTCTTATTGTGACGTCATAAAGCGCCAATACTTAGTCGCGCTTTAGCAAAGTTCATTATGACGACATGATAATAGGTAAGTATGTTAATACGGGAAATTAGATTTTTTATACAAATAGTACAGTTATATTATTTAATTCTGGTTGTAACGCTGTATTTGATTGGATTAAACATTTACTTTATATATTGTATAAAATCGTTTGCCTACGTCACAATGACTTTTGTCAAAAACGTATTAATCTGCCTGACGTTACATTCAAATTTTGTACAAATTGAAGTCATTTTGTTTAGAACAATAATCTTTTTTTCTTACATCAAATGAATGAAAATTAAAATAATATAAGCAATGAATTTAATAGCTACCCATTTTATATGGTATAAACTGAGTTGGAACAGTTTACGCTTTTTTATAAACCGCAGTTTATAAAGCGTAAACTGCCCCAACCCAGCTTTATAAACTGCGGTTTATAAAAAAGTGTAAACTGCCCCAACCCAGTTTATACCGTATGAAATGGGTATCTATTAAATTCATTCCTTAAATAATGCGGGTAAAAGTATATTTCTTAAATGAAAAATAATTAGGGCCCCGCAAGGATTTGAGGGTGCCCTATAGTAATCACTCTGTCTGTCCGTCTGTCTGTCTGTCTGTCCGTCTGTCACTCTTCCGTCCACAAATTTTCTGTTTTTTGCTGATAACTTTTTTTATGGTTGCCCAATCAAGTTCAAATTTGGTATGGTATTTCAGTAGTCAGAAATATGTATTTTGATGCTAAGTTTGTCTCTCTACGTCTTCTAGTTTGGAGCTGGGGTGGTGGGGTAGATTCCTTAACTATGCATAATGAATGGGCAAAGAGAGATAACTGCTGAAGATGTTCCCATTGTAAAGTGAATGCTGCTATGAGTCCCTTGGGATTAATTAGCTTTCCTCCTGAAGAAAATCCAAAGCATTATCTTTATCTGTCACATTCAGATTAATTACTGTACCAGTAGCCTCTGTCTGCAAATGAACTTTGTTTTTAAGTTAAGGTCAATTTTGGATGATGTGCACATTCTCTGAAATATGGATTTAAAATATATTTAAAATAATATCTAATAATGTTGAAAATCTCTGGATTTCTTGGGTTATGTGTCGATACGTATGGTATGACATTATTAACCGGTTTGTTTTTCACGGTAGGTAGATCTTTTCTTTCTTGAGATTTTGCTTTGTTTATTCCGTTTTGAATCAATCATCTAGGATAGTGCCTACTATCCGATTCCATGGTGAATTTCAAAGTAGGGCTCAGGGTGTTGAGAATATTAAAAAATTCCATTAATAGATCCTCACTTCTAATAATGTTGAAAATCTCTGGATTTCTTGGGTTATGTGTCGATACGTATGGTATGACATTATTAACCGGTTTGTTTTTCACGGTAGGTAGATCTTTTCTTTCTTGAGATTTTGCTTTGTTTATTCCGTTTTGAATCAATCATCTAGGATAGTGCCTACTATCCGATTCCATGGTGAATTTCAAAGTAGGGCTCAGGGTGTTGAGAATATTAAAAAATTCCATTAATAGATCCTCACTTTTGTCCCATATGACGAAACAGTCATCTAAGTAGCATATCCACGACTTCCTTATAAAAGTTTCAAAGTCCTGCCCGAATTTTTCTTTCGCAGTTAAATAGAGTTGTCTTCTAAGAATGCTAGGACAAGTGTAGCATAAGTTGGCGCAACTTTGGTTCCCATTGCCGTGCCTAATTTATGTCTGTAAACCATGTCATTAAAATGCGTGAAATTATTTTCCAAGATTAATTGGAGACTTTCTAAAACAAAGTTTTTGGAAAATCTGTCATACAAAAGACTAGGAAATCTGTCTATCCAAGTTCTATTGCGATGAGTCCAAGATCATGTTGAATGTTAGAATAGAGATTATGAGCAGTACAGGAACAGTGCGCTAGACCGTTTGGCTATTTAGGCAAGTCAAAAAAACTTGCTTTCGATGCAGATGGAATTCAAACACCTTAGTGCGGGTATTACTGTCTCATAACAGCATCTTGTTAATCATTTTTGAAATCTCCAAGAAATAGTAATTTTTTTAAATTGAAAATCAGTAAATTAATCTTCAGAACTGTTGATTTCTGGTTTCATAGATAAAAGAGACACAATATGATATATGTGTTGAAGTTTTTTTTTTTAAGGGAAAATAACAATTTATATTTTTTCATGGTTTTCAGAGGCTCCCCGGGTCCTTATGAACCAATTGTTCCACCTCCACCAGACATTCAGCCAGTAATTGACAGAATGGCTATGTATGTGGCCAAAAATGGAATCGAATTTGAAATTGTGGTCAAGAGTAAAAATGATCCAAGATTTGAGTTCCTTTTACCACATCATGTTCATTTTCCTTACTATGATTTCAAAAAGCAGATTCACATGAGGGTAAGAATATATAATTCTTTAATAATATTTGTTTGTACACTTAAGATTTTGCTCATCTTAAGATTGTGGACTCCTGCAGTCTTTTGTCCTTTTAAATTCATTATATGATTATTGGATGTTGTATTATTAATGAGAGCTATTCTGGAATATTAATCCTACTAAAAAAGTACTTATAATTCTAGTCTTTTATCAAACTTATTCCAAACCATTGTCATTAATGATGGGTGTACATGACTGCCAGGAAACACCTTAGGTCGTCAATTCAGCGACCCCCCACCCTTGCATTAAGAAATTTCTGGGGAAAACACTAAGTAATATTCTAGTATACTACATTTCCTTACATTTTACATCCATGTCAAGCACGTAAGCCATTATGGCCCTTCAGGCCTTTGTCTTTATATGGAACTA